TCTAAAAAACCGAATCTAATAATAATTATGTTCTTGTGAAAATAAACTCTTGAAACTTGTAAAATCCACGAAAGACGTCAAGTTTCTGTTTTACTTGTATTGATAATTGGAAAATTATATTATAATAATTAATATTCAGCTAAATTTAAATAGAACAATTATACTGCTACTGCTGCTACTATGTAGTAACTTCCAGTGTCAGTGCGTCTGTCCCAAACATCCCACGATGTGCCCAACACTGCTCCAGTGGCAACTGACAATGCAGACTGATGCAGACAAGCAACGCTGGTAACTGTACCCAACTGTAACGCCTAGCGTAGGTAACGGGGGTAACGGTATCACCGTCAACGTCGTTGCACGCCGTTGATTGCGTTGTTGTATGTTAATGTAAAGTGATGTAAAGATTTGTGGGTTAATAAACATTTGCAATACATGGATTGTATTGAATGTTAATCATATATTAATTTCAATATATTTGAAAGAGAAGTGCCACATTCTGTAACACCCAAATGGAATTTTTACGATTTACTCGACGACTGAATTATGTTTTCCTACCGATATATTCAAATTCAGTTTCATATCATCACAGTGTAAAGCACGTGCATCCGAATGCAACTGTATCAAGCATAAAACAAGGAACAGTAAACAAAATAGAGCAATTATCTCTGCTAAGTGTTGATGGTGATTATGGTCTTTCCGTTCTAAAGGCAGCAATTGATTTTACGGAACCTTTACGTATTACAAAAGTCGAAGAAGATGTTGAACCAATGTATAGCCCATTTGAAAATGAATTGATTCCTTTAAGAAATGATTGTATTAACAATAATGCATCTAGAGAAGATATTTTGAAGAATGCTGTCGTTTTAGAAGAAGAATACTTTGTAGCACCATTGATAAATACAAAAGCATCATGACTATAACAAATATTCTAAAAGAATTAAGTACACACTTTGTTAGTCTTACAGAGCATAGTCTTATGTATGGACCTCAAGGGAAATTGTTCCTAAGAAATCTTGAAGAGCAATGGTATTTACATTGTGTGACAATGTCACGATATAATGTATTCCCATCAGATGATTTGAATAATACTTTAAATTTGATTGGAAAAACTGCACTATGTGATATACCATTTGGATTAGCTAACATAAAAAATGCAAAAAATTCCTGGAACAAGAACATATTAGATATGCAGAAATTCAATGTTCATAAAATTGGAGAAATATCTATTTTTAATAACATTATAGAAACAAAAGATTTATTTCATAAAATACAGAAGGAACGTAAGATTTGGTGGCGCAAATTAGCTCAATGCCCCTCTAGATTTAAATTCACAGAATCAAAGAAGGTGAAAAACGTTGATGTAATAGATATCGAAGCACAATTTTCATTTGGC